GGAGATAGGAGATTTTGCAATTGAAACATGTACCCCCAAGCTTCAAACAAAATTCATCTGTTTATAAAATGTTTGCAGCCCCATTAGAATTAAAACAAAACTTTTATTAGGCCCAACCAGTTCGGTTTCCAAAGCAGTCCAGATGCATGTAGAAGCTATCCATAAACACAGCTTGCTCAGCCCACGAGGGGGAAGAGGTGAGTATGCCCACAGTTACTACAGTCTCCTTCTCCCCACACCAATGAAATCTGTCGCGGGAGGCCAAGGCTGAGATTTGCATGGCACTCCAGTGGCACCAGTTCTTCCTCTCACTCCTGCAGAAACACAGTGCAAGCAGGTGTACGTCTATTCAGAAATTATGTCCTATAGATGGAATTGCTCCCAAGGAAGTGCACAGTGTCCCACCACCGCTGCGAATGCAGGAGCAAGGACGGCGTGTTCCAGGAGCCTCCTGTACGCTCGGCATCTCCTCTGCTCTTCACCATCTTGCTGGTCCAGCTCAGACCATGTCCCACTCTGGGCTATGAGACCAGGCCGCTCTGGGATTCTTCCCCAAGGCACTAGCTACACCCTTGAACCAGACATGCTGCAATTTCCTTCCGAGCTTCATGACAGGCAGTTGTACCACTGCAAAGGTGCTTCCAGCATAGAGTTTCTACCACGGAGGACCCAGCCTAGGGTCTGCTGGCCACTTATTTGACCATGCGTTGCTTCTCGGCAATCAGGAAAAGCTTCTTCACTGTCAGAGCAACATGATAGTAGAACCGACTGCCTGGAGAGGTGGGGGGCTCTCCCACACTGGAGACATTCAAGGAGAAACCGGACAGCCATCCGAGTGGGATGGTGCAACCTGGTGTCCTGCAACAGCAGTGGGTTGAATGGCCTCCATGGTCCCTTCCAACTCTACTGTGCTATGACTTTGTTGCTTCTTTGTTGCTAGAGTGTGAGTTGTTAGGGAGTCCTTTCCCCTACCCTAGCATGTTTTGGGCTCAGACACAGGTAGACAGAAAATATAATGAGATCAAGGGCAGTGGCTTTTCTCTGTGCTCAGTTTCTCAGGACTGCGATGGAGCATGCTTTTCAGGGTACCTTAGAACAGTGGTTTTCAACCTTTCCACAGCTGGGGACTGGTGAAAACAGGAAAACCACCCTGGGGACCGCTGAGGCAGAAACCAAAAACACCATACATATAATACAGTATTCTGTGTATTCATTTCCAAACACAGTACCAAAAGAAAAAAATTCCCCAAAACAGCCAGAAACCAACCGACAAAAAATGCCAACAAAGAACAAAATACGAAAATCGGTGCAGCGTGGATCCCAGCTGGCTCCCACTGAGCCATCCCCCCACCTCTCTGCCCCCACATGGAGGCACCGGCGCACCCCATGAATACAATGCCAACTGAGGAAGAGGTGGTGGAACACAGCCAGCCCCCATGCCGGTCTATGGCAAGTGGGATGCAGCCCCCACACAGACCGGCAGGAAATCTCCCATGGACCAGCACCAGTCCACGGACCACTGGTTGAAAACCACTGCCTTAGAGGATGTCACTGGGGTGTATGAGGATGGAGGCCACAGGTAGTGTGTCCTGTTGGGATGCTATCTAGATGAGTTGTCCAGTCAGGTGACAAGAAGGGATGGGTGGTCCTCTGGTTTGCTGGCACTTAGTAGGGTAGCTCAAAAGCACTGATTAACCCATGCAGAAGAACGGTCCTTGATGCACTCTTTCTGCGTAGGACTGGCATGTAGGGTCGTATACGGAATACTGAATAGTGATCTTACATATGTAAAAAACTGGACATGGACTCCTCTTTGTGCTTTTGATGTCACTTGTTTGTTTGGGTCAGTAATTGGGTGCATGGATGAGATGAAAGCCCATTGAGTAGATGTGGCTGATTGGTTAGGAAGTTGTTCAGTGTGCATGTAAGTCTCTTTATGTGTTTAAGCACCTTCCTTTCTGCTTCTGGAAGGATTCCCCCCTTGGCATACAAAATTGAATAGGAGGTCTTCTTTTATTTCCCTGATGGAACTTCTGTCCCTAGTATTCTGTGATGCTGCAGGGATTGGCTAGTCTAAACCTATTCAAGGACCTTAATGGCAAGAACAAATTTACTGCAGAATTTATGGGGCCTTGCTTAGGAAAACAAGGAGCGTAATAAGAACCAGAAGATGAGCGAGAGCCAACAAAGGCATTTGGAAATGGGTTTGGTCATGGTTAGAGCAGCAGCTGAGCATGATAGATAATAAAGACAATTTTTTGGATTGACTGAGTAGCACAAGGCAAGAGTACAAGCACCTGGAAGACACTCAAATTTATTATAGTAGATTTTTTGTATGTTCTGAGGTTGGCCACCCATACATTGTTGCTAAGATATAGTATCTTAAATTGTTTCAGCCCTCAGGCAACTTTCAGCCTCTTTTCCCATCTGTGAGCAGTCCTGAGGCTATGTAGCAAGGGGATGGCATATAAAAACTTTAAATAAATAAATAAATAAACTATTTGAAATAGAACCCAGTTTTATGTCACTCAGATGAAACACATGAACCATTAATTTGGGGCAGGATGGTTAACACCAACAAGTCTCTCAATTGAATGGTTAAGGTTACCACATAGATATAATTTTTATCATGGGGTATGTGTCCTGCTTGGTCATGTTGTGAGTCAGGCTATGGAAACAAGACATACTTTGGAGTATGAGGAATACTAATTCTTGGTCAAGTCCATACAATACAAGCACCAGTCTTTTACTTGTACGTATTTATTCAGTTTATTAGTCAGACAACCACCAATTGTGCTCAGAGTGGTTCACTCTGAACCAGAAAATTTTTCACAGCCTAGAACACGCCTTCTTCCAAGTTAGACCATGTATTCATCTAACAGATGGGCAGCAGCTCTCCCAGCTTTCAGGCAAGGGCCTTTCGTCTGTTATGTGATCTGCTTGCTTCCATAATTTAAATTTACAGCAATGTATAAACACTATTAAAATCCTTGGTTCATTATACTTTGGAACTTACTTCACTTCTTCTCATCCTTCAACCTGAGTACAGGAAGGCATTGTGATTTGCTGACAAAATCCATATAGTGAAAACACCAAATGCATCTCAGAGGGGAGGGCATTCCACAACCCTGGGGGCCAGCACATAGGAGATCTTTTCATGCAAAGCCGCCTCATGAACTTCTGCGGCAGGTCAGACTGAAAACAGGGCATCCCCTGCTGGTTTTAGCATCCAGGATTGCCAGTGCTCTTACAGAATTCTGGTAAATATTCATAGCTTTTCTGCAAGTTAACTTACAGCAAAGTTCTGAAGAAAAGCTATGCATATTTACCAGAATTCTGCAAGATCGTTGGCATCAGATGTTGGCATCAGACGCCTTGCAACTGGAAGGGATATATAAGACTTCTGAAATAAGAATAAATTTCAAAATGGCCTAATAGTTTTAATCCAGTTAAAAATTTGCATGGAAACAATGATCAAACTAGTAAAAAGCAGATATAGCATATAGGTGACTTAACAGTACTACAAATGAAAAGTATCCTTGGTCTGAAGGTCAGTACAAGCTGCAATGTGATACAGTTGGCAAAAAAGCCAATGTGATTTTAGGCAGTATTAAAAAAAGGCATTTTTTCGTGCTCACAAGAAGTATGGGCTCCACTTTATCGTACACTAAATCAGGCCTCATATACTATGGGGTGTTCAGTTCTGGGTGTCACATTTTAAGACGGATGTAGATAATCTGGAGCAAGTTTAGAGGCTCCTAACGATGATGGCCAGGTCAGTGGTAGGGAGAACAGGAGAAAAGGGTAGGGGACATGCCCTTTTAAAATTCTATGAAGTCACAATCCTATGTAAGCGTGCTTGCTTCCCAGTGATGCTGGCTGGGATTGTAGCTCTACTTTCTATGAGGCATGCATTTTTGTTCAGCCACAACTACCCCACTGCCACCAACTTGGTACTGTATGAACTCAGCCTCTGAAACAGTGTTATTTTCAAAACACAGTCTATAATTTAGCAATGTGGCCTTAGAACCAAGAGGGCATTTTAAGCCAAACCATAAAAGATAACACTTGGGAGGTTTTGCTACAGCATTAGCTCGACTTCATCACACAAAAGCAATCGGTGCAGCTACTAGCAGGGAGTCACGTTGAAGCTTTTCATTTGCCGGTTTCCAGATGCAGCTCTCCATGCGCCATTTCTGAAGGCCACTTTCCACGTGCGACATTGCAAAGGGTCGCCTTGCACGCGCAAGCAAGCCAAAGGGCGTCTTCCTCGAGCCATGCTGGAAGGCGTCATTTCACAATCGAAAGCCCTTTGCCCTCTGTCCCAAGGAAAGTTCGGGAGACAACTGAAATCAAGATAGCGAGGCCTTGAGGCGGCGGGGGGGGGGGGAAAGGAACGACTGCATTTTGGCGGGAAAACAGCGAAAGGCGAGAACTCCCTTGCCAGCTCAGCGACAGTTACAAGCCCTTCTCCCACTACAAAGGGGACGGCGATGACGTAAACAGTGACGGAGCGAACGAGGGCGGAGCGGCTGGAAGCGAGGGAAAGGTCACGCGGCAACTCCCAATCGATTTCGTCATCGCCTTCCTCCTTGTTGCGTGAGTGCGAGGGCGCGGCCAGAGCAAAGGCGGAGTAGAATGGGGGGAGGGGGGAGGCTCCGGAGGGAAGCGGTGATGGAATGTCACGTGGCAGGGGCGGCACTAAAATGATTGTCCGTCACGTGGGCAGGGCGGAAGGGAGGGGGAGTGAGGGGGTTTTAAAAAGGGGGGAAGGGGGAATATGACGATCACGTGATCCTGGCGGCCCGGAAAGCTCTGAGGCGGAGCTGAGCGGGGCTTCTCCCGCCGCCATTTTCCTGCGGCGCCTCGCTGCCGATGTTCCTGTGAGGGAGCGGCGCCCTGGCGGTGGCAGCCGTGTGGCGGAAGCGAGAGGGGAGGGCGCGGCAGCGGCTGGGCGGGGAAGAAGGGGAAGGAGGAGGAGGCCCCTTCCCGGGTGACTGGCCCGGCCCTTCCGGAGGGCGGAGCGCGGCCGGCCGTCCAAGGCTAGGTGGGGGTGCTGGGTCCAGCAGGGACTGCCCGCCCTCCTCCTCCTCCTCCTCCGGCTTCCGTCCCTGTCCCCATCCCCGCTTCACCAGCCCGGCGAAGGAATAGCGGCGGCGGCGCTGGAAATCGGGGACCATGTCTGGGCAGAGCCTGACCGACCGCATCACGGCGGCGCAGCACAGCGTGACCGGCTCCGCCGTGTCCAAGACCGTCTGCAAGGCCACCACGCATGAGGTGATGGGCCCCAAGAAGAAGCACCTCGACTGTGAGTCCACCGCCCTCGGGCGCTCCCCCTCGCCTGCCGCCCCTCCCCTCGCCGAAGGACACCTCCAGGCCCCGCCGCCCCTTCCAGGGGTCCCTGTTAAGCCCTCCGCAAAAAAAAACAGGGGATGCCGCCGCCGCCTCTCCCTCCAGGACCCTCCTCCTGCCGCCCCCCGCGCTTCGCCCGGCGTTTTATGGGCCACTTGCTGCTGCGGCGGGAAGGCGCGCTTCTCTCGGCATCCTCCTCAGTCTCCGCTCGTCCCAGACCGCCCTGTCCCCCCATGGGCTCCTTCCTTCTGCCTTTTTCCTCCCCGGCTCATTTCTGCTGGCACCTTTTCTTTGGAACGGTTTCCCCTGCTCCGCCCGGTTGGCTACTCTGTCCTTAAAACTTCAGGAATGTACTACCCCAAGATGTGGCGAGGGCCGTTAGTTTACATGGCTGTGTGTGAAGGGATTGGATCAGCCTTCGTGGAGAAGGGGAGGCGAAGAGGTTTGGCAAGGACGATTAGCCAAGGAATGTCCAAGCTCAGGGATAGCGTGGCTCGAGCAGCAGTTGTTGAAGGGTGGTGTGGTGTGGTGTGGGGAGAATCGCCTTTATGCCCTCGTTGTGGGTTTCCCACAGTTTCTTGGACTGGATGAACTTCTGGTTGGATCTAGCAGGCCTCTTATCTTGGCAAATACATCATTTCCAATCTTAGTGCTGTTCCTCATTTGAATTTGTGTTTTCTCTTCCTCTTGTTCCCCTGATTTCAAGATCTTTTTGCTTTGTGTTGGCTGCCGTTGCACTGTTCTCTCCTAGATGCCTTCTTAGCTCAATGCCTATGTTGAACTTGTCAAGTTATTTAAAAAAAAAACTTGGCTTTTAGACTCCAGAAGTTGAACCAGTGAATCCTTGATATTACACTATTATGGCTTACTGAGAGGAGTGCATGGACTTAAAGTTCAGTTAGCACAAACTGCCCCTACCCTGGATTCTTCTTTCTTAGAACGTTACTATACAGGAAATAATACAGCTTCAGAAAATAAATGTGCTCTTAATCTGTAGCTACCCACTACATAATGAAGCCAATTAGTATTATTTTGCAAAGTGACCCTGAATTGCCCATTGCTGTCTTATTCTGCATCCTGGCTGTCCCCCTGACTTGGGCACTTTCAATGCAGTATGCTTTATGCTGCCTGTAACATACCTACCCGTCTTGGTGGCCTCTGTATATCTCTAATTTGAACGAGTTACTGCCTCTGAAGTCTCTGTTTCAGCCATGGTGATTAGAGGATTGGGCTGGGGGCTTGGAAGATCCAGGTTCTAGCCTCCCATTGGCCATGGAACTAACTAGGTGACCTTGGGCTAGTCACTCACACTCTGCCCAACCCACCTCACAGGGTGGTTGTTGTGAGCATACAGGGGAGTGGAGGACTGTGTAATCCACTTTGGCTTTCTTGCATGAGGGAAAAAAGCAGGATGCAAATATAATAGCAGTGTTGGTTTAAAAGTATTTTAGGCCCCTCTCCAAGTGGATTTTGCCTTTATAACCCTGGCCTATTATTTAAATCAGGAATGGAGAGTGTGTGGCCTTTCGTATCTTTTGTTCTACCCTTATCAGCTCTTGCTGGAATAGCCAGTGATGAAGGTTGATGGGTGTTTTAGGTTAAAAAATCTGGAGGGGCCACAAGTTGTCCACCTCTGTTTTAAAACATATCTTACTCCTTTAAAAACAAAACAGAGCAAAACCAAGCAGTTCCTGGGAACTGGATGTTCATATTCAGGAAATTCTGCTGGGGGAGATGTTGGTACTATCCTCTCTTAGTAATCTTTTGAACTTGGCATATCTTGAATTAGGCTTGTGTAGTTGCAAAAAGAATTTCAAATGTTAAGATGTATTTGTAGAGCAGTTTTACACTTCTGTAAGACCATTGTATAATATGGAACAGTTTAAAAAGATACTGCCTTTTTCTCCCTTCTGCTTCATTCCATATAATTTTTTTTCATATTTTGCTTTGTGCATTGTATGCATAAATGCCTGAGCTTATCTTTTCTTCTAGTCTCTGCATCTACATGAGAGGTTTAGTCAGTAGTTGGAAACTGAATTCTGCTGTGCCTTTTGGTGGGTTTAGAGAATGCGGACCAAAGAACTTGGGAACTCCTTATATTATGCAATATTGTCCTGTTAATCAACTGTGTATGGATCAGATGAGCCACAGGTTTTTCAGTATTCAGTAATCTAGTCTTTTATTATTTTACTTTTTGCTTGCCTGCATATACATCGGTATACCAAGAGCCTTAACATGCACCATAGCCATCCTTTACGGTGGGTGGAAGCAAGGGAATTTTGCTTAGGATCTAGCACTCAATTCTTTAAGGATTCTAGCTTTCATGGAACTCTTAATTGTCATTCCATGAAATAGATTGTAAGTGCTATTCTGGAGTACTTTAGTCTTCATGTAAGGACTCTGAAGGTTCTTATATTGGCTGAATTGTGGTACAGTGCAGGAGCCTGCATACTCCTAAATGCAGTAGCTTGGTGAAAATAACTTTTGCCTCTGGAATTGGCATATGTAAATAGGTTGCACATGATTGATGGAAATCCATTAGGGACTTCTTTAAGCCCTAACTCCTTAATGAGTTGGGGTTGCATCACAAAATTTATTCTTAATTCTAATATATAGTCAGGGTTGTGTGTATTCTGCACATTCATGAATGGCAGATTGGACACAGGTCTTGCTATTCTGCAGACTTCAGCTTTAATTCTCAAAAAAGTTAGCTTTTGGCATTGAGATTGCAGTGGAAACACTGTGTTCAGTATCTGGTAAAGAGCAAAGTTTAGGAAAAGTTCTTATATGCTGCTTTTTCCTTTGGCCTGTTCTGCATCCTCTATTCCACCTTTGTAGGTCATTAACCCCAAATTGTATGTTCTTTTTTGCATCCATTTGTCTTCGATTCCTTCCAAAAATTATTAAATTGAGTCCAGAACAGATTATCATGAAATGGAAGACTTGTGTGCAAATATTGTGCTTCCACTGTTTAGGTTTCCTTGGTACAGGTTTTCGTATATGGAGTATTTATTACAAGCAGCTGATATTACCATTAACACGCAAAGCTGACAGGCTAGCCCAGAGAATTATATAAGCTAATGCACTGTCTTATTGGACTTGGGAACACTGTTTTTTATGTATCTGAGCAGGTAGATAGTATCTGTTTGGGAAATTTCCTCTGAGGACATTGCAGGAGAGGAAAACATGTTATTTCACCTGTTTTGAAGATTTGTGTGCTGGAACTGTGAAAAGAGTTCTAGCTGGCTTCTTTCAATACCTTGGCCTACTAATCTTTCAAGCACTGGTTTCTTAGGAAGCAGCTAATTGCACTTTTCAAGATTCAGCAGTAGTGAACAAATTGAGCTTATATTTTAATGTTTAGCAATTCCACCCGAGGTAGCAAAGAGCTAATTTGTATTCTAATGTGGAATAATTTCAATAACTACTGTTGGTGTTACATACCACAGTTTTCTCACAGGCTTGGTGGATAGATATTGCTTTTATACAACATCTGACCACCATATTTCATCTAAAAAAGGAATATTCAGTGAAGCCAGGTTGCTGAATGAGTCCATGAGAAAGCTCCCATTTCCCTGTACCATGTAGCTTGACTTGCTTGAGTAACGAAGTTATTTGCCCAACTGGCTCATGAATATGATGCAGTTGTACTTTGCTGTTGATATATTGTGGCTTGACTTGTTTGGAGGGATCTGTGGAAGGCTAGTGAGTAGTCCTGCTTTCCAACATGGACCTGCAGTAGATGGTATTTTGTTCCCCTGCTTTGTTCTAGAAAGCTTTATCTGCCACCCATAAGTAGGAATAGTTAAATTCCTTTCCTTAGGCTAGTTTAGGTATTATGTAAATGAAGGCCTAGATTCTGAAATTAACTTTTGCACTAGTCTGCTTGACTAAGACAGTGGGACTTCCTTCCTTCCCATATTCTCTGAAAGACAGCCCTTTGTGCTCCTCTGAAATCTGCTCTGGAGAGTATCCCAGACCTGTGGTGCAGATCTTGTGAGTGTCCAAGAGGCTGAAGACTGAACTTCCACCATTGGTAGAATGATTCCATTGGATATGACCCCTTGGTAGTAACTGAATAGCCACTATGTTTCTTTTTCATGATTTCCCTGAAAGCTGGTTCTTACAGTGTTTGTGGGACTATAAGAATAAACTGAGCTGTGACCCAAAATAAATAGTCTGCTTTACTTATACTATGACAGTATCTTGAGTGCATACATGTACAGTATTGTCATCACTATGGGGGAAACATTCATTTGCATTAAATAGAAAGCCTGCATCGACTCAAATGCTTTGGGTCCTGCAACCAAGTGATAAACTGTGAATCCTTTCAAACCTGTGATCATGAAGTTCAAGGAGAGACATGTTGCCTTATAAATGCTGCACACTTTGAAAGCCTGACTGTACAGCATTTTCCATGTGATTGATCCACTTGCTTTCTATGATCAGCATGTAGATAGGGCTAATCCCTTAACTGACTACAGTCATTTGGTACTAAAAGTGCTCCAGCTTCCCAGTAATGCCTTTGACCAGATGCTGTCAAAGGATTCATGGGATTGAAATTTTCCTCCACTGCAATCTCCTGTAGTACCAATCACCTTGTTTTTCTTTCTTCCCAGTTAAACACATTATCATTAGATAGTGGACTAAAAGTACACTGTGTGTGCACAGTGTATGTTTAGATTGTCTGCGTCTCAGTTATAATTGTTTTGTGGGTTGGCTAGCAAGAGGAAATTTCATTCTGGAGGGAAGAGAGTCTCCTGCTGGGAGAAGTGGAATCTGGCAAAGACAGCCACCATGGCAGGATTGTGCTGCTGCTTTTATAGGACTACTTACATCTTGGGCCAGACCTGAATTGTGCAATTTGGATGCTGTTGTTGAAGTCTAGAGGACTTGTATTACTTCAGACCTCACAAACTGTACCACTTAAATTGCAGCATGTACAATTTCTCTGAA